TGACCTGGTGCATCTAGGTTGGGTCTGGGACTTTAGTCTCCCCACAAGTATTGAGGGGGCTGTACTGCCCACCCAGGTAGAGGATCACTGCTCAGCATCACCCATGAACAGCTGGTCTTCTGACCCTGCTTATTCATGGGTCCCTGTGACATCCCTGGACAGCACCAGCTGATGGAAAAAAATTTGCTTCCAGAAATTGGGCTGAAATTGGTGGACTCTATGCAGCTTAGAGTCCTCTAAATACATAAAACACTGGGCTTGCTCCATGGGATCTGCAGGCTGCCACCATCCCAGCATTGTGACTGTTCCCTGAGTGCCCTGTCCTCAACTCCAACTGCCCTTGGAATTTCAAGTATCAAAACATTCACTTTAGACCCCTCTACCAAGAATCCTGCCATCCTATTCCCAGCTCAGTTCAGAGGGCAGGGTGCAGACTGCTCTTTACTGTCTCTGTGGGGAACCAGACGTTGAGATAGTTAAGCCCATACTTGGTCCAAGTTCATGCCGCCAGGTTTGGGGAGAAGATCCTTGTCCAGACTCCTCTGCCTCTTGAGAATGGGAGATTTGTCCCCAGGTAGTAGCTGGGATTATAGGCATGTGCCTCTACATCTTGCCTGCAAGGGGTTTAGAAGCATGCATCCAATTCCTTTATTTTATGGATGCTTAATTTGAGAACCAGAGAGGTAAAGTGACTTTCCCAAGGTCACCTAGCAAGCTCAATGGTAAAATTAGGGCCTCTACCTTTGGGCCCTGCCTCCCAGTGCAGGATTCCTCCACTGGCCCAAGATTCACAGCAGGAGAGACAGTCCCTAAGATTCTCCTGTCGTTCTTTGCTTCCAAAGCCATGGTGTTTTCTGCCCTACTGCAGGCCAACCTGGTAGGGCAGTGGCAGGGAAGTGTTCCCAGGGGACAGGGTGGGGAGCATTGCAGGTTGGCTTGGGAAGATGCTACTGCTGCCCCATCTGCACTAATCAGCGAGCTCTTCAGCCACAGGAGGAAGCCAGCAGCCAGGGGATGGGGCTGTGGTGATTTATGACCACACAGAAACAGAAGGACACTAATGTCCCCGGCTGGCCTGCTTATCTGCCAGCTCAGCCAGAGAGGATGCATTTAAAAGGTCATGTCCTCTAGCACCAGAGAAGGGGCTGGAGAGTGTTCTTAGGCAGTTCAGTCCCTTGCGGTCAAGGGTCCTCCTTTCCTGAGCAGAGGCCAGGGAGGTTCAGCCTTGCAGATGGGAGAGGCCAGGGCGCCTTTGCTACAGGGAGTCCTTAACATCTGCCTAGTTTTGAATTCCTCAGTGGCACACAGCCTCCCTGTGCCTCAGCTTTCTTGTCTGAAAAACAGAGATGAATCTGAGCCTCTTGATCCTTGGGCCTCGACCTTCTCCCAGGTCTGCAGGCATAGACACCTCTGCTCTATTTCCACAGCTGAAGAATGTCGATATTTTCCATTTCAGAAGAACATGTTGAATCTAGAACCCTGACTCATCATAGTTGGGTGGGGCACTGAGTGCTCCTTTAGTTTAATGTCTCATTTTAAAAGTGGGGGAAATTGAGATCCCTAGGGAGGACAGGCCTTGCACCCAGGGCTGGGGGCCAGGCAGATGCCTAAACACTAATTCTCCAATCCCCTTCTCCAGATTCTTTGCAGTGCTATAAAGCAGCAGAGGAGGAAGCCAGGCTTTTAAGCCCTTTGCTCTGTTTCACTTCATCTTGGCTCAGGAGTAGCCTTCTGAACACTTGGGTTGCTGGGCAGCTGTGGCTTTAAACCTAGGGCCTTCAAAAGTCAAAAGGAAAGGAAGGCGGGGCCAGTTCTTCTGCACCATTGGAGGAAAGTCTCAATATGGAGACTGCAGATATTCCTGTTTGGCTCTGAAAAATTTTTTCTTTGCATCTGTTTTACTTTTCCCATACACATTTGGCTTGAACGTTTTCCTCCCCTTTCTTTTTTTTTTTTTTCCCCAAGTACAGCAGGCTAGGGGGGGGGGGGGGGGGTATGGAGTTGGGGAGGGGGTAGGGAGAGGAACTGAGGTGGAGAGGTCAAAGGCCTCTGACAAGTGGCCTGAAATGTGTCAGGAAGTGCTCAACGTTTAGCATCTGGGGCCTGAATCATTGGCATGTTCAATCCAGAAGTGGACAATCAGGGTTGGTTGGAAAGGCTTGTTCCCCTGGACCTGTGATGCCCCAGGCCAGAAGGTTTTAGGTCTGGCCTGCAGGGAGGAAGAGACAGGAAGAGGAATGACTTGGTGGAGGCTTCCGCAAGAGACAGAAGGAAGTGGGAGGGTTTATTCACCAGCAGGATTGCATTTTGCTGGGTGGTGTGGTAAGAGAAGAGAGGCCAGGCCAGATCCTATGCTGGAGGAGGGGGAGAACAGAGCTATTTCTAGCGTTCCTCCCCACTCCCCACTCCTCCATCTCCTACACCCTTCCCAGAGCAGCCTGTCCAAAGTGCCTTCATTCATTCATTTCTTTATTTCCTGGGTTCTGTGTTCTTACTATAGAACAGGTACCATGCTAAGCACTGAGCAGTCAATGGTGATGAAGGTGACAAAACCTTAATGTGATCATTTTCTGTCATTGTTAAAAATGTTTCACAGGCTTCCTGTTTATTTTAGAATAAAAACTTAGTTCCTGGGCTAGAGATGCCACTCAGTGTTAGAGCACTTATCTTGTACAAGGAAGGCCCTGGATTTGATCCCCAGCACTGCAAAAAATACAAGCCCCTCTATTATTTAGCCTGCCATTCAATGCCCCTGGTGTCCTGTCCCTGACTCCTCCCCTACTTTCATTACCCATCACTTGGGAGCCTCTCAATAAACTTGTGCAGGATGACCTTGCCTTTGAGTCTCTGCCTGTTGTACTCTCAAATCCAATAATTCTTCAATGGTTGGATAGGATATGTTACCAAGTTCCCTGGAGTAGCTTTTCAGAACCTCTTTCTATTCAACCTGAAAGAAAAAACAAATTTTTCTTTTTTGTACTGGGGTTTGAAACCAGGGGCACTTAACCACGGAGCCACATTCCCAACTCCCTTTATTTATTTTATTTTTAATTTTGAGACAGAGTCTGGCTAAGTTGCTTAGGGCCTCTGTCAATTGCTGAAGCTGGCTTAGAACTTGTGATCCTCCTGCCTCAGCCTCCCAAACTGCTAGGATTATAGGGCAGTGTCACCTGCCCAGTTTACTTATTGCTCTTATTTTTGGTTACCAGGGATTGAACCTCAGTGTGCTTAACTTAACCACTGAACCAGATTCCCAACCCCTCTTTTGTTTTTCTTTGAGACAGGGTCTCATTAAATTGCTGAGGTTGGTCTCAAACTTGCAATCCTCCTGCTTCAGCCTCCAGAGTCTCTAGACATATTCTACATCTATTTATGTTTATTTATTTTTGTGGTGCTGAGGATTGAACCCAGGATCTCATGCAAGCTAAGCACAAGCTCTACCACTGAAGTGCATCCTATGTCCCCTTATTTATGTGTTTTTAGTTCTGGGGGCCTGGGATTGAATTTTGGGACGCCTTACCACTGAGCTACAGAGGTCACCACGCCTGGCCCACATATTTATTCTTATCTTGCCTATTTTTTGGGGGTAGGAAGTTTTGCCTGTTTTGTTCTATTCCATTGCTTAGAACAGTTCTTGGAACATAGTGGGTGCTCAACAGATAATTGAATGGATGAAGTAGATAAAACAAACTGTCAAAACTACTGGATGTGTGAGCTACATGGAATGTCAAAGACAGAAGCACATGAACAAAACTATATCAGCCTGACCTCAGTGTGTATCGCTTGGGTGGGGAGAGATGATGGGAACCCACTCCCAGACACAACCCATGGAGTAGGCAGTTGGTCACTGCACTGACTGCTGAATTTGTCATTGAATTTTTTTTTTTTTTTTTTTTGTACTGGGGATTGAATTCAGGGACACTTAACCACTGAGCCACATCCCCAGCCATACTTGTGTTTTATTTATTTAGAGACAGGGTCTCACTGAGTTGCTTAGGGGTTCGCTAAGATGCTGAGGTTGGCTTTGAACTCACGATCCTCCTCTGTCAGCCTTCAGAGCGGCTGGGATCACCGGAGTGTCCCACCGCGCCTGGCATGTCATTGAATCTTCGGTGTTCCACCGTGGAGAGGAAGAGGGGGGCCCCCAGGGTCAGCCTGCGACAGCTGCATCCTTTCTGGAAACTAACCAGTATGTCCTGCCGGTATCTGTCCTTCCATGACTTCACCTATTCAAGCCCCCAAACCTCAAGCTGTGGGGAACTGGAATTTTCTGTGTGAAGGGAAGGGATAACAATTCCTCAGGATTTGGACCTTTAATTCGGCCATCCGACCTGCAGGCACCCCTCTGTACGATGGTGGATGGCCAATCTGCAGCTACACTGGACACCTTCCCTCCCTGCCTAGCTCCCATGCCTGGTACTTTAATCTCTGAAACGGTCTAGGGCTGAGGCCCTGGCCCCGTCTCCCCGCGGCTTCAGGAGGAGACGGGGCGGGGCCGTGAATCAGCACTCGCTTGGACTCTGGCAGCCCGCATCCCCGCCAGGGGTCCCCAGTGGCCGCGGGGTTGGAACCCTATCTTCCTCCGCTCGCGCGCTATGGCCGCTGGGAGATGTAGTCTCGACCGCCCCTTTGTCCTTGGTCTCCGCAACCCGTCGGCCCGGGAAAGGAGGAACTACAACGCCCAGTGGCCTGCGCGCCGGAAGCCCGGAAGGGCGGGCGCTGAAGAGGGAGGTGTGAAGGGGGTCCCTGGAACGGCTGGGGCGAAGGAACCGGGGTGAAGTGAAGAAAGGGGAGTGTTGGGGGCCAGCGGAGAAGTGGGGTACACTCAGAAGACGGAGGCTAGCTGCATCCGCTGCGGGGGCAGAAGGCTCAGCCGAAAAAGACCCGGGCGGGGCCTGGGCGGGGCGCGCGGGCGGAGCCTTTTGCGTCACGCGGCGTGGGCGGGGCCGCAGGGGGTTGTCCGCCCGCGGCACGCACAGCAGCCGCAGCCGCCTCGCGCCTGGTCCCTCGGTCGCAGCTCGTGCCGCCTCCTCCGCGCCGCCGCTGTCTCAGCCGCTCGCTTCGTGGGTCGGTCCCTCCGGCACACGAGTTCCAGCCGCGCCACAGCCGCCCTTCAAGCCCTTCAGGCCGTCCCGGTCTCCTTCCTCCGGCTCGACCCAGCCCGTGAAGATGGTGGACCGCGAGCAACTGGTGCAGAAAGCCCGGCTGGCCGAGCAGGCGGAGCGCTACGACGACATGGCCGCGGCCATGAAGAACGTGAGTGTCTCCTCCCCTCCCCCCGCCTCGCCCCAGCCCTTCCCGAGTCGCGGTCCTCGGCGGGGAAGACCCCGGGGCTGGTAGCCTGTCGCGGCTGGCCGCCGGTCGCGCCCGCAGGGTGGCTGCCCCTTCTCGCTCCACAAGGGCGCTGGGGAGAGTCCTGGTAGTGGCGGGGACCCGTGTGGTGACGCGGCCGCTCCCCGGCGTCCCCGGCGTCCCCCAGGCCCGGCCGCGCTGCCTCCGAGGACCTTCCCGGGCTCGGGCTGGGGCGGGGTCTTGCGAGGCTGGTCCCGGGAGCGGGGTCTCGGGTGCGCCGGGGACCCGGCGGGCGGTGCGCATCCTTTGTGCCCCACTTCCCCTCCTCCCAGCCCAGGCGTGGGGGCGGGGGACCGCATGGATGCGGTTCCTCTTTCTCTCCCCGATGTCTGGGCGGCGCCTTTCCCATTCACTCAGCAGGTCTCCCGGTTTCCCACCCCCCACCCCCAGTCATCTTCCCCGCAGCCTCCCTGACAGATTCCTAAGGAACCTCCCCGGGAAAGACGTAGGCTCCCCAGAAAACCTGGGCTTAGTGGTGCAGAATCGAAACCTCCTTGCTCACGTTTTTCTTAACAAAAGGCTCCTCTTTCTTCATTCCCCTGAGCAAGTCTCTGGCTTTTAGGAAGTGGTGGTGGTGGGGGACATTTGTCTCCTTGGCATTTTCATTGATTGTCCTCCACATGCCATCTCCATTTTTCTTAATTTTTTTTTTTGTTTGTGTGTGTGTTGAAAAGGGTAGGTATTACTTTTCAAATAAAGCCTGTGAATGTTAGCTGACTGGTTCAATTTGTGACATATGCTGTTTCTTTTTTGAATACAGGCACGCGTCCGTTGAAATTCCTATAAGTTGAAAAAAACCATATTCTGTCTGATCTGATATTGCAAACAAAGCGGTGGTGGGAGGCAGTATCAAGTCATTCCAGAAGATTCTGCATTTGTCATATTGCAGAGAGCCTAGACTGGGTGGAGGCTGGGAGGAGTTATTTTAAAGGGGAAAAAGTCTTTTTTTCCTTTTTAAATTTGTTGAATACATCTGAGGCTTTAAAAAATTTTATTTTAAGCAGCGTATTCTCATGCAGATGAAAAGAATACTGATCTCCAGTTGTCGCATTTTGTCTGGGATGCAGATTCCTGCCTGTGTTGCACCATTTTGTCACTTAACACTACATTTATCTGATGGGTCGGCAACCCGTTTGATATTATATTAGGGCGGAAATACTGAATATTATAAAATGGAAGATTAATCTAGTTAATGGTTTAGGTTTCCCACTATCTTAATATTAACTTCCTGCCTTATGTAACAAAGGTTTTAAAATGCATCTGTGGTGTGAAGTGGATGCAGGGAGTGTATGTACCTTGCATGTTAAATCATTTAAATGAAGCAGCAGAGGTATTGAAGATTAATTCTTAAATAATTTCACTACATCTTAAAAGATGATAGTGCTGTTTTCATAATTAAACCATCCATATTAATAATTTTTTTTTAATTAAGAGGAAGAGAACAGGCTAAATTGAGAATACTGCTGTATTGATAAGTTGCTATTTTGTAACATTTTCATGCTCATATGATACAAGGTGGACTTAAGTAGTTAATCAGTATTGGAAATATCTTTAGTTCATGTTTAGATTCTTCTAATTTTTCCATATTTCTAGTTCCACAGGAGAGCGAGTGACCTCGCACCTATATCCATAGCAACCCAGTGATGTCACACACAATGACACAGAGGCTGCAATGCACCTAAGGGCTGGTAGGGAGTTTGCAAATGGCATTTGTCCAAGGTAATGCAGAAATTACCTGATAAGCCAGGTGGAATTGTGTGCTTCATCTTCCACCAGATAAGAATTGGTCCAAAAAATAAGAATTTCATTTACCCTTAGACATGCAAATTAATGACCTTTAGATATGCCTTATTCACCATCCCATTTCTAATATTTTTAGAAAAGTTTTTAAGATACTTTTATATTTTTAAAAACTTATTTTGATAATGGGGCAATGATAGAATTGAAATAGAATTTTTAAAATAAGAATGTATTTATGGTCATAATACAGGCCTGGAATGTATATTTGGGTTATTGAAAATAATTTATTGACAGGTTTTAATAAAAAAACCTTTAAAAAATCATGGCTTCCTACTGTGTCATTTCCAATAATCGTTAAGGAACAAGAACCAATTATAAAATGTGTCTGGATTTGGGAAGGTTGTCTTTTGCTCCGTTTATCTGTCTTTGACACAGTATGGAAGAAATCATAGTTCGTGAAATTCAGTGTATTTTCTGTGAGTTTAAGGAAATGGCTTATGCTCTGACCCTCGTTTTCCTCATCTGTATGATGCAGCAATTCCTACCCGAAAAACTGGAGAACGGAGTAGGTGCTCCAAAATGGTAACTACTAGTACCATTGTTCTTCCCATTTATAAGTGTTGGATGCTGGGGGTGTAACTGAGTGGCATAGTGTGTGCTTAGCATGTGTGACTCTCTGTTTGATCCTCAGCACCTCCCCCCCCCCCCCCCCCCCGGAAAAGTCAAGCTCTTTTAGAAGGCTAAAATCCTGATATGGAGATTAAAATTTTTTGTATTTCGTGAAATTATCCTGGTAATTGCAATGTTGAGATATCTGCAGAATGAGTTGTATATGGGTGATCAGACAGAAATAATATGTGATATAGCATTTTGAAGAGGAGAGTTAGGTCAGCTAAGACAAATACGTAGTCTTGCCCTGAAGACCACACTGAAGGAGAGAGTGAATGTAGATGTTAACTACTTTTTTAGATAGTACAGTAGTTTCTTTTTATCCACATTTTTGCTTTCTGTGGTTTTAGTCAGCCACTGTCTTAAATATTACATAGAAAGTTCCAGAAATAAAAAAAATAATTAATTAGTTTTAAATAACCTTTATTACAGTCTATTGTTAAAATTGTTTCATTATGCTCTTACTGTGTCTAATTTACAGATTATCATAGGTATGGATGTAGGAGAATGGTAGATATGGTATTCTGGACTATTCAGGGCTTCAAGCATCCACTGGGGGGGGTCTTGGAACATAATAACCCCTTGGGTAAGCGGGGGATCACTGAACTGCCTTGTCCTTTGGCTTTTAATAGCCTAATAAGTTAATATTTTAAGTAGGCTACTGGTCCTTGCCTCAGGGGGAGGAAAGGTTCTAGACTACTAATTTCCTTGAAGTTACTAGGTTAAGCAATCTAAGTGGGTAGTGGGGGCATGGCTGGCAAAAGGCTGTCATAGTCACGCATAAAAGCATATTTTCCTAGTGGACTTAACAATTTATACCATCTGAAATGCTGCATTTTTCCTGCTACCTCTTCCAGGAAGCTAGATCAATAGCCATTATCACTAATGGAGTAATGACACCATGGTAGGCCCTGTAGAGGTGGAGTTCTGCCAATCTGTGGTTTGAATTGTTCTCTTCTTTGAGGTAGAGAAAACACAGATAACAGTTTGCTTTTCATGTGTTATTATTCACAGTACTGAAATGAATATTAAGTGCATTTTCCAGTAATTTAAAAAATGTTCATGTGTCTTTTGAATTGAGACAACAGATGTTGCTAAATGTACATCCTCACAACAGTACTTTGACAGCAGATGTTGGGTAGGATGTCATCTCTAGTACTTGGGGAAGGCTTATCAATTTATTAAGTCAAACTATTATTAATAAGAGTGGAGAAAACAATAGTATTTTCATTGAGGTGAAAGTCATATAGCACAACATAACAGTCATATAACAAAAATTGAAGTGTACAATTGAGTAGTATTTAGTACATTTCACAGTGTTGTGTAACCATCACCTCTGTCTAGTTCAAAAATGAGAAAGTGGTATTTTTTAAAAAGTGATGCTAGTCCGGCCTATCACTGTTGAATTTCAAAACATGATTACTGATTCAGGACCGTGTCAGTAAATGCCCACAGCAGCTCACAGCCAGTGATAATTGGTTATCCCTTTGTCTTTGTTTTTGAACATCTGAATTTTTCACCATAAAACAAAAAAAGGGACTTCTCATTAGCGAGGTTTGAATTATATTTCCGATTAAAGAGTCATAGAACTTAAAAGCCATAGGCTGTTCATCCAAATAAATAAGAACAATTTGCCTGAAATCTGAGCAAGCCATTAACTGTTTGGAGATTATGGAAATGTTGCTAGTGGTGTTGCAACTCATTTTTAGCCCTGAGGCTGACTGTATTGTAAGCGACTTCCCCACTGTGTGGTGGCAGTTCCCTAATGAACACACTGCAGCGCTGAGTGCTGGGCTGCTCAGCCTGGCATTCCCACTGGATGGGATGCCATTGTAAGAAGCTAAAGGGGTTGTTTTGGTTAGCAGTGTGCTCCTGTGACTCTTGGACTGAATACTATTTCTTGCCCCCAATTCTAGCACCCTAGCCTCTGGGAGGGCATCTGACTTACTCTGTATTCCATAGGATGTGGAAGAAAAGAAACAAGGACCACTTTCTAAGTTTAATAATAATAGGGAAAAGTCACTTTTTGTTGAGCTCTGTTCTTAGTGCTTTACGAGATATATCAGTCATAGGGCTGGCTGTCTTTGTTACCTTTCTGGGTAATAAAGGCTACCATACCAACTGGTTTATGGCCTTTCTTTCCTTTCATAATTTTTTTCTTCCCCAAATTCCATTTTAGGCATCAATTATCATTTTCTTTTTTTTTCTTTTGTTTTGGGCTGGGGATTGAAACCAGGGGTGTTCTACCATTGAGCCGCATCCCCAGTCCTTTTTCTGTATTTTGAGACAGGCCTCCCTTGTTACTCAGGCTTGGCTTTATCTTGCCATCCTCTGCCTCATCCCAGCTCAGCTGTCATTTTGATTAATTACAAAATCATGTCATTACAAAACCATTGCTTGGTTTTACTAAATTGATAAATTTGAAATTTAGTTACATGAAAAGTGATCAACACGGCTGGGGCTGGGGCTCAGCGGCGCTCACCTAGCATGTGCGA